TGCCCGTAGCAGCTTGGCCACCTCCTCATTAATAGTTTTTTGCCTGTTTGGAGTGAAGTTTCTCCTCTTTTGTCTCACGGGTTTATAGTTCTGATCGACACTAAGCCACGATCACTATGGGGTCTATTCTTTCCATATCCTCATGTTTCCAGGCAAAAACATCAGCGTTCTCCTTCAAGAACAAGATAAGCTTTTCCTTGATGTCTTGGAGCAGCATAGAGCCTATGAAAATCACGTGCCTTGGGTCTTCTTCCTCCTACACGGGCTCTAGCTACTCTATGGGGGTGGGCTACATCTCCAACTCATCTCTCATGTCCAAATCCTCTAATTGAACTAACTCTACCTCCATTTGCCTCATTTATGCCACATAGCATTCCTTCGCAAGGTGTTGATCTCCCATGACCATACCGACCCTATTCTCAGCGAGTAACTTCATCACCAGGTGGTATGCCTAGGGTATCACTCTGATAGAGTTGAGGGATGTCCTCGTGAGGAGAATGTTGTAGGCGAAAGACGGATCCACCACCAAGAAATGGGTCGTGGTGTTAACCTGACATGGCTGGTCTCCCATAAGGGCTTTATACTCCATTTCGTTGTTGCATGCTTGGAAATTGAACCTCAAAGCGTATTCCAAATTGTACCCCTTGGGTAAGGTCAGGATCAGGCCAGCTCCGCTCCCTTGGGCATTTGATGCTCCATCTACGTACAATTTCCAGGTCAGGACATCATGGATGCAGTCTTAATTTTTTGTACTCTCTTCAGATGGCGAGGTAAATTCGGCAAGGAAATCTGCTAGGACTTGAACTTGATGTTGAATTCACTAAGCTCCATTGCCTACTTCACCAGTCTCCTAGAGGCCTTCGACTTGTGTAAGACTTGCCTCATCAATTGGTCCGTTGGGATTTCAATGGTATGTGCCTAAAAGTGTGGCCTTAACCTCCGAGCTGCTACTAAGAGGACTAGCACGAGCTTCTCCATCTTTGGGTAACTCTCTACGACCCCTCTGAGGGCCTTGCTGTAAAAGTAAACTGGTTGCCGAACTTTTTCCTTGTCCTTTACCAAGGCGACGCTGACTGAAAATTCTGACATGGTCAAGTAGAGGGTTAGAACCTCTCATTCTTGGGGACTCACAAGCACCGGCGGTGAAGCCAAATAGGCCTTGAGGGCTTGGAAAGCCTCTTCACATTTCTCGTCCCACCAAAAGACTGCCTTCAGAACCTTGAAGAACGGCTGCCACTTGTCACTGTAGCTCGAAACAAATCGATTGAGCGCCGCTATTCTTTCGGTCAGGCGTTGTATTTCTTAAGTGCTGGTGGGGGACTTCATTTTGAGGATGGCCTTCACCTTTTCGGGGTTTGCCTCAATACCCCTACTGTTGACTATAAAGCCTAGGAATTTCCTTGTCGATACCCTAAAGGCACACTTCGTTGGATTTAGCTTCATTATGTATTATTGTATAATCTCTAATGCCTCCCTGAGGTGTTGAATATTGGATTGAAATTTAAGGGACTTCACGAGAATGTCGTCAATATATACCTCCATAGTTGAGCCGAGCTTTTCATGGAACATTCTATTGACCAACCTCTGATAGGTGGCCCTAGTGTTCTTCAATTCGAAAGGCATAACCTGATAGTAGAAGATCCCTTGTTTTGTGATGAACGAAGTTTTTTCTTGGTTATTCAGATCCATTTTGATCTAGTTATATCCCGAAAAGACATCTATGAAGATGAGGAGCTCATGGCCAGCTGTGGCATCAACTATCAAGTTGATCTGGGCTAAAGGAAAACTGTCTTTGGGGCATGTTCGATTCAAATCAGTAAAGTAGATGCATAGTCACCATTTGCCATTTACTTTCTTCACGAACACGACATTAGCCAATCAAGTTAGGTAATCTACCTCCTTGATGGCTTTTGCCCGTAGCAGCTTGGCCACCTCCTCATTAATAGTTTTTTGCTTGTCTGGAGTGAAGTTTCTCCTCTTTTGTCTCACAGGTTTATAGTTCAGATCGACACTAAGCCACGATCACTACAAGGTCTATTCTTTCCATATCCTCATGTTTCTAGGCAAAAACATCAGCATTCTCCTTCAAGAACGAGATAAGCTTTTCCTTGATGTCTTGGAGCAGCATAGAGCCAATGAAAATCACGTACCTTGGGTCTTCATCCACCTACACGGGCTCTAGCTACTCTGTGGGGGTGGGCCACGTCTCCAACTCATCTCTCATGTCCAAATCCTCTAACTGAACTAACTCTACCTCCATTTGCCTCATTTATGCCACATAGCATTCCTTCGTAAGGTGTTGATCTCCCCTGACCATGCCGACCCTATTCTCAGCGGGTAACTTCATCACCAGGTGGTATGCCTAGGGTATCACTCTGATAGAGTTGAGGGATGTCCTCGTGAGGATAACGTTGTAGGCGAAAGACGGATCCACCACCAAGAAATGGGTCATGGTGGTAACCTGACATGGCTGGTCTCCCATGGTGAGCACGAGCCGGATGGACCTGACAGGCAAGACTCTCTCACCCGAGAAGCCTAGGAGATGGGTTCTCACGGGCTCAAGTCTCAACCTGTCTATACTGAGCTGATCAAAAGTTGACAGAAAAATGATGTTGGCTGAACTGTAGTTATCGATGATCACCCGATGCACGGTTTTATTTGCGATGATAGCCTTTATGTCCAGTGGGTCGTCGTGAGGGTGCTGACATCCTTCTAGGTTAGCATCGGAGAATGTGATTTCAAGATCTCCGCGTGACGCTTTTCAGACGGCATGAACTTTGACAAAATCATCCGATCTTGCTCTTCTGGTGTACGCCTTTCACGCCAAGCTAGACTCACCTCTTCCAGTAAAACCACTCGAGATGACCCAAATTTCACCAAGGGCCTTTTGATGTTGTTGTGGGTGTTGAGGGGCAGCTCAGATGTCTCGCTCCTGATCATTTTGTTCTCTTCCTTCTCCTTCTACATAGTGGTGCATGTGACCTCTTTGGATTAAGTACTCTATCTCCTTCTTGAGCTGGATATAATCGTTCGTCTCATGGCCGGTGTCTTTGTGGAACTCACAGTATTTTCTGGGGTCCCTTCTCCTAGGATCAAATTTCATCCAAGGTGGCCACCAGATGAATCTTTCATTCTAAACCTCATGGAGGACCTGTGCAATAGAGGTGATTAGGGGCGGGAGTCGTGTTGGGGCATATCGGGGCTATAACTATTGTGGCCAGGGTCCCAGGCGGTCTTTGACGTTGCCTCTTATTTTAGGAGAAGGCTCTCTCCCTTTTCTTGGAGAACGATCCCTCCTCAGGGACCCATCATATTTTTTTCTCTTTTTTGGGACTGCGGTCCTTCTTTTTCTTTTCTTCTTCTGTCGATGTCGATCCTCCTTTTAGGTGAAGGGCCTCCTTGCCATTGATGTATTATTTGGCTTTCACAAGTATCTCGGTTATAGTGGATTGAGGGTTTTTTGCGAACTTGTCGTCCATACTTTCCACCTTTAGGCATTCTTGGTTGAAGCATTGTACATAGCTCCGGAGGGACTCATTGGGTCTCTGTTTGACGCTCAGGAGATGGTAGGACGACTTCTGATGAAGTGCGATAAAAATTGTATAGATAGTTCCCGAAAGGAGGAGATTGATGCGGATTGTAGTTTGTTAAACCAAGCAATTGCCGACCTTTTTGAGGGTGATGGTAAAAACTCGGCAGTGAATTGGGTCTGGGTACCCCTAGAGTTTCATCTAATTTTTGTAGGAATTCAAGTGGTTGGATCTTTGGTCTCGTCGAATGCCTCTATCAATGGCATTCAAAATTTTTGAGAAAGAGGGAAGTGAAGGATCTCTGGAGTGAATGGTGACTTTGTCTGCTTGACCAGAGCATCCATGGTGTTGGGGGTCTTCCCCTTAACCACTTCTTTCATGTTGCCCAACTCTTACTAGAGCTCATGAAGTCTTAGCTCCAAAAAGTGATCCATGGCGTCTGGCGGGGCAAGGGGTCTATTTTCTCGATAGGCAGCTCTGGCCCGATTGTGGGTTTCATCTTCAATGTGTTCATCCAAATGCCTCATCCGGTGGTTTTCTCTAGAGTGGCTATGCTCATGAAGCTCCGTAACTCCGTTGGGTGAAGCTTGGCGATCCTGAGGAGGAATGTTGTGTTATGCCAGTGGTGGAGAAGACTCCTGATGGATTGGTGGGAACTATCGAAGTTGGTGTGTCTGTATCCACATCATCAACTCCTGGTTCTGCTTTATCAATTGCATCATGGTTCGACGGTAGGCTTCCAATTCGTTGAGTGGAGGAAGGTTTGCTACTGAGGGGTGGTTCTCGACGTCCGCTTTGATGGCGGGGAAGTTCTGGTGAACCTGGGGATTAGTGTGAGATGTACTCATGTTCCGAGTTGAAACCATAAAACTAATAGGGATGTAAGAAGAAAATTCCAAGGAAAACAATGAAAATCGTTCCCACAGACGGCACCAAACTGATGGTGCTCAGAAATAATGGCCCAAGGCAAAAACTATATTTGTGGATTTCAGTGAGGGGATCCAATGGGTAAATGGTTCAGAAGAGAGATCGAATTATGAGAAGTAAACAAAGACAATATATAAGTGGTTCACCTTAGTCGAAGGACTAGAGTTACATCCACTGTAAAAGAGTCTCTTGCTCCTTGGGGTATATATTTCTTAAAGAGGGCTGTTACAGTGACTTTGCTTGGCCTTGAGTCTTTACAGGAGAAATTTTTTTTTATGAACACAGGTTGCCAAGAGAGGTTAGTAATAAATGCTGAGGGGAAGACGTTGAATAACCATCCCTTTTACAATGTAATAGTGTCCTATTTATACAAATGATTTCCCTAGGGTTTCTAGTGTCTGCTTCCTCCTTTCCTGTTGATTCTATAGGTCCCTTCCCTTTTGTCCTGCAGTGATTTCTGTCATATACACTACTGCACCTATGTCCCTTAAAAGGTGATGCATACTAACTGATTTTGTGGCAGAGGTTGTGTGCTCATTACAGGCACCAGAAGTGGTCTCCTTGTCACCTGGACACGTGGCATGACGAGAGGAATTTGGAGTAATCGAGGAATCGAGCTCCTAGACTCTGAACTGGTCGTCTGTCAAGCTGAATTGGGTTTGCGTTGGACCCTTGGACCTCTGGCATCGCTGGCTTTCTTCCTTGTGGCCCAATTTGCCATTTGAACAAGCAGGTGAGCTGTTTGGGTGGTTTTCCTAACGACGGTCTTCTAAGCTAATTGGGCAGTCCATGTCTAAAATTTCATCATTATTAGGTAGTTTAGACAATTAAGAAATGTTAAAAGGTCAAAGATAAAAATAATTTTTTTTTCAAAAATACATACTTTTTAAAATATAATAAATGAGTCTATTGTGTCCAACAACTTTTGGTCCGAGTCTAACTAAGTTGTTAAATGAATTTGAGTTTGACACTTTCACTAATAAATAAATTTAAACTTTTATTCGAATTTATTCAAAACTATTCATCAACTCTTCGATTTTTTTTTGTGGGTCAATAAACACGTTCTATTGGCAACAGAGTCAAGCCGACGCAAGGTCATCATGGTCTGAATTGTGGCGTCGTACTTACCTGTCGATGTGGTCGGAACAAACAAAGTCAACTCATAATTTTCAACCTACTCAGTGGATATGTGCTATGTCAAAGCATGCATGCGTCATCAATTTCGAAACGTTTTTCTAGATTATAGAATACCGCACTGACTTTTTTGTTTTTGGGAAATTTTAAAATTTAATTTATCTAATTGAATATTTATAAGTAAAATTAGTAATAATGTACCCCTTATGTGACTTTTAAACTCTTTCAGTGGATCAAGTAATCTTATAATTTCTATACATCAAAAAACCAGACACCGGCCAGTAGTTGATGTTTTTTATATTCAAGGGAATAAACTAAAACTGCTATTAACCCTGCAAAATGGAGATGTAACGTAACGTTGAAGTTTCAAATTCAACCTTGTTAAATTTGTTATGACTGCTGACCACTGTCATAGTAAGCACTTAGCAGACACAAAACGAACATTTAAACTGCTTCATTATATATAACTATGTATGATTTTTCTCCTTTTTGTTTGAATTTTTTTTTTCGGTTTGACTGCCAACCTCCATGAGATTTTCCTAATAATTTTGTCGGTGGACTATTGTTGGTTCCACCCAGATGTTCTAAATTTCATATTATGTTAATATTGGCTGATTTTGGTCATCCCTCACCAAATTCACTGATTCACATTATTTAACAATGTTGTTGGGTCCACTAACAGTTAATGCAGCCTAATATACATGATGGTTAGGGCGCTCCAACGTGAAATAATATCAAAACAAATAAACTTCACAAAAATTAATAACTAACCATTTATATAAGTAAATAATTACACACTTTTTCTCTATGTAAACAAATAATTAATCAAGATGGATTCACCTTATTCACTTAGTATTTTATTATTGATTGTTGATACAAGGTCACCGGTATCACTGTTGCATTGAATATTTTCTCCTCCAACAGATAGACAAGTTAAAATGTTTGCATAAAAATGTTTGCATAAAGCCACAAGTCAGGTTATGGTACTTATGAATTAACATTTAATATAACCCAAAAAAATTTAGGGTCAAGATATATTACTTTTGGTCTCTAAAGTATGTATATTTTATCAGTTTGATTCTTAAAGTATCAATTTTGTTAATTTGATCCTTAAAGTATTCAATTTGTGTTTAAATGGTTCCTACATAGACAAATCATTAATTTTTTGACGGAATAATCACGTGATATCGTCTGAAAACATGACACGTGATCACTTCTAAAAAAAAATTTAACGCCAATGTCTGTTAATGGATCAAAGTGATATGAATTGAAATTTTAGAGACCAAATGGATAAAATTAATACAATGAGGACAAAAGAAACATATTTTAGAAATCAAAAATATTATTAACCCAAGAATGTAAAATATGAAGTCCCAAGTCTTGTAGATGATTGAACTAGATTTAGAGTGATGGCATGTAATATCATGACTATTCAAATCAATTTTAAAATCACGACACAAGTAATGACATGGACAATAAATATGCAAAATTCCCTTTTTTTGTAGTATATATAAATAAATTCCATGCCAATGTTGATATGTTTGCATTAAGCTTTAAAGAGTACATAAATTCTAAAATGAGAGGATGGGGTGATTGACTTGACTTAATTTGCTAACAAGGTCCAGTCGTTAAACAAATATATATTTAGTACATTGAGATCACACATAATAAGACGATTGGAAATGTAGGCGATCACAGGATGTCCTATGAACAATCACCGCAGGATGTCTTTAACAGCTGGGATTCGATTTTGTATTCCTATTTATTTTTGAAGGGTAATTATTTTATGTCACATGCAAAAATAATTTTGAGTTCGGGATTTCGTTTAATCAAAATTTTACTAAATTGCGTATTCGGAGATCTTAATTTCACGTGTTCAATATCCTTTTTTAAGGTTCATGAACAATCACAAACCAAAAATACCAATAGATAAAAATCACGTGAATCATACCCAAAAGTCTCTTTAGCTTTCAATGATAACAATGGAGAATTTTGTCAAACTTTTTAATACATGTAACAAGCAACATTGCAGTTACTTTTTAACTTTGGAAAGCCGACTTCTAGATACGGGATTAGTGGGAGAGAAATTATCATTTAGGTAAAGTGGTTATTTCTTGACAAATGGGAGCTCCTAATGCAGTGGCCTATTACACACGTTTTGTTTTCAAATTGAACATAGCTTCCTGCATTGTGCTAACTGCTAAGTTTCATTGTCAATGATTGGTCTCAATCTTAGAAGTTGATGATGTATAAAAGTGAATTTATGCACAATCAATAGTCGGGTGTATGATGCAGAGTAATTAATGAAACAATTAATAAAGCAATTAATATCAGAAGGAAAATAATGGGTAGTTGGGCCAAAGTGACCCAACCACTGAAGATGGCGATGATGGCCGGAGAACTTTATTAATAAAGCAGAAGGTGTTTGAGAGAGAGAGAGAGAGAGAGAGAGAGAGAGAGAAAGCAAAGGTAAGTTCCAGGAGAGGTTGGGGTAGTTATGAGAGAGATAGCAGTGTGAAGGGTGTGTAGAAAGATGCCCCTTTTATGTGGACAGAGCTTACAATTTATAGGCATAGAGTCTTGGTTAAGGTGGTGGTGTGATGGGTAGGTTACTTACTTTTTGGGAATAATAGCTACAACTAGGATATATATAATTAGAGATAGTCTTGATCTAAGAGAGTGGTTATCTCGATAATCACTTTTCACGCGCGCTAATTTTTTTGGATCCCTTGAACTTTACATTGGGCCGAATCCATGAACTGGGCTCGACCTGCTCAGTAGCTAATTTGGACTCACTTTATTAGTTGGGCTTGACCTAGTTTAATTTGGGCTCATCATATGCCCCCCATGCCCCAAGCACTTGTAATGACAAGAGACTGAGGGCATGAGTGAGACTAGGTATCTTGTTCCCTACAATTCTTAACGTCATCTACACTCACAAAGCTTCTTTGCTCGTTTGATTATTCCATGACTAGGCACTCATTACATACACCATCACTCATTGTGTTGGGTTTTCGCTAAACCTGATCCCTCTTTTTTACTTTGGGCATCCATCTTTAGAACTTTAAAGAATATCCCCATTTCACCCAAGTTATTCACTTTGGATCTAGGTGTAAAATTCAGGTAAATTTTAACTTTAAATAGTAATTTGTCACTATAATATGGGATTAAAATTCATATTTTTCTAGATCTCGGATGATGCAATGGACCTCATCGTTGGATTCGTATCGCGAAATCGAGTTATTCAGTCAATTTTTATCGAATTTCGAGATAGTCGAATTTTTCACGTTTTTTTAGACAACTAGAGATCGGATGGACTCTCAAACGTCCCCAAAAATAGATATTATAAAATTTTCTTAAAATTGAAGGAAATTTCAAATAAAATTAATTTGAATTTAAATCGGGACAGAATTAAGTCGTTTCGGGGTAAAAACGAACCCAAAAATGAGAAACGTGCAGTGTAATGTGGACCGCGCAATTTAAAAGTATAAATAGGGGCAAAATATCTGAAAATTAGATATTTTTTCTCCCTATTCCATCTGATCTCACACGTTAGAAGAGAAAAGAAGAGAGAAAGGAGAAAACTCAAAAATCTCTATCTTCTCTCCACAATCTACGAAGTTCCGTCGATCGGAATCGCTTGAACCAAGAGTTAAAGTTGGTTACCGCGAAGAGGGCTACGTCTATGTACCAAGAACAAGGAATTTCACCTAAGATCCAAGGGAAGGATTTTGTGAAATCAAGATTTTTGGAGCTAGAAAGTGTTCTTAAGGCTTTCTACCGTTCGTTTCACGCTTCAAGAGGTAGGGTTCCCTCCTACTTTGGTTTATTTCTAACCTAGGGTGTCCATATGGAATGGTTAGAGGATAAAACTAATTATGACTTGCCTATAGTCATGGAAATAAGAAAATGGGTATAGAAATGACTTAGACCATTTTCTAGCTTGATTTTGATATGTGGAAATATTTGTGTAAACTCTTGGAAATTTGGGTTTACGTGGGCATGCTATGTGTTTATAATGTGTCTTGTGATTTAAATGTGTTATTGACATAGATTATGTAATAAAATGCTTGTGAATTGTGTTGGAAAGAAATGTTAATATATGTTCATTAATATGTTGACATTGTGATGAAATTGTGGTAATTATATGCATTAGAAATAAATTGCCATGAAATATGTTGATATGTGGTTTAAATTGTCCATATGACATTAATTACATATGAGACATGACATTGATATGCAATGGTTCATTATGTTGCATTTGCATGGAGACATTGCATCATGAGGGTGTGTGTGCATGGTTGTCATCATCACCTCACTTGGTGGATGACTAGTGGACTTGGAAAAGTTGGGTCGATCATTCGACTGAGTCGCACGGTTGTATGAAAAATTGAGTCGGGGTTATCAAGAAGGGCTAGAATATCCCTCGGGTGAGAGACCTGGTGATAGGATCCGCACTCCGTTGGTATAAGAGTCCATAAAGTGTGTAGGTATACGCAGAACCGTTGGTGGGAATCCATTGATTTTGTGTCGGTTGGGTGCCGTTGGTGTAAGTCCATGAATACCCACCCCAATAAAGACCCTAGATTTGTAAATGTCATTTGATGTGAACATAGATGACGAATTAAATCACATGGGCTCTTTCATGTTTTGAGGAGTCATGAGGGACTCGGGTTCAAGTGCATGAGTGAGTGTCATCTCATATCATGACATGACATAGTAGAAATTTCCATCTTGAGTGATATGTTATTGTATGGAATGGGTTATGATTGTTGATTGATTGCATGCATACATTTCATATGCACTTAGGGGGGGGGAGAGTAGCCTCTGTAGGAAATACTCTACTGAGCGTAGCTTAATCTATACGGGAAAATATTTCAGGTTCGGGATACACGCCGGTGGACGGTTCTCATTTGGGGCCTCAAGGGTGAAGAGAGGCCGACTTGTGGCCTTTAACCTTGGATTTTGTAAATACTTTGATCAAAGTATGTTTTGGGCATGTGATCGTATGTAATTAATTGTAATGGACTTGTATAAATGAGGTTTGATGTGAAAAACTCCATTATGCATGTGTTTGGATGAATATGAGATGGTTTGAAATGGATTGGAATTGAAAAACAGGTGAAATAGGCAAAACTGGGCAAAGAGCACTAGTATTGTGTACCAGTATAGTTGGGTCCAGAAGGCATATAGTACCGGTACAGTCCAGACAATACTGGTACTCAATATCGGTACTCTTTTTAAAATTTTGAAAAATTAAAAAATTGCTTTGCTATGTTTTTGGACTTTGGTTTTTTTAGTACCAATGGTACAAATGAACATTAAATGAGATATATTGGGGTATATTGAACCTCGGTTGGATTACATAATTAAAAGAACACGGGTTACACGTGTGAGTTATAATCCCGAGTAAAGGGATACTATTAGCGTGATGTCGGATCGTGCAGCACTCACGAGTATTTTTGCGGGTTGACCGGTGGTCAACAATTGAAAAAAGTCCCCCGATTTTAGGGGTGTCACAGTAGGGCTCAACAAAGCCCTTGGCCTCCTTATTCGACAACCATTGAGAGGTTGAAGAAGAGAGGCATGAAGACTGGAGGGAAGACGATGAGGCAGAACCCAATGGGTATCTCTTTGGAGATCTACAACAAAGGAAAAACAAGGTAAACCCTTGATGACAGCTGGTGGCATCGATGTGAGTGGCGACGGCAGCGGGCAAGTCCCAGGCACTGATGGTAATCCCAGCAGGAAGAATGGTGGTGCCCTTGCGGTGGAGACACCAAAAGGAGCGTTGGCAGCCTGTATGTGCAGGAATTGTTGGGCGGCGCTGGGTACCGTCCTAGTGACTGTGGGCAGAACCTTAGCCTTGGGGATGTAGGCGATGCCTCAGGTTATAGGGGCATAGGAGGCACAACAAATGGGGACCCAGGTGGTGTCGGCGGTGGCCTGGATTGCGTGAAGGATGGTGACGCCCATGGAGCTGGGGCTAGTGCTCTTTGCGCTAGTCTGGGTGAGAACAGTGAAGAGATGGGCGATGACCAAGCATTGGGTGATGATAGTCAGCTATTGGGTGGCGCCAGGTTTACGATGGGCGACAACAGCTTCGACTTGGGCAACATCCATGTTGCCTCTAAGGACTCAAGTGGCTTCGAAGGTGGATGGGCCAACAGCCTAGGCGACACCACAGGCACTGGCTTCGACAGTGGGAAACTAAGTGACGACGATAGGTTAGGCAACTCCCTGGGCATGCTAGGTGGCGCTAAAAGAAAGGGGAACGAGGCGGGCATTGATCCACTTGGCGCGCTGGGCACTAGTTTTGGCTTGGGTGACGCCAGCCTAGGAGCTGAGTCAGGTCTGGGCACCGCTAGGTAGCTAGGTGCTGGCCTTGGCGACCTCAGGCGTTGAGAGTCTGCGACCGGAAGGGCCCAACCGGGCTGCGACGCTACCCTTTGCGAGCTTCAAGGCGGCGCCACTGTTCGCGGTGATCAGGACAGCTCCAATTTCCATGATGAGGCATTGGACAATGTCTGGGATGGGGGAGTCGACTGGGTGGTGCCAGGCATCCCCTTGGGCCTGTGGGAGATGGTGGGCTATTTCCTAGAATGTTGGGCAATGGTGCTTTGGAGACTTGCAACGCGGTCGGAGAGGTAGGTGGTAAAGGTGACGTCCTAAGCTCTACTAAAAATAGGCAGTGTGAAGGTAAGATGGTTGTGCCTGTCCTTCAGCACATTAGTAATCCCAATGTTCACTTGATGTTTTTGGTAATTTTGCTTCTGACATTGGTTCTCATCATTGGTAGGTGTTACCCCACATAAAGGCTTGATGAGGAATGCTCCACAGGATTCCCAGCGAGACAAGGGGGCCGCTAAAGGAGATAGTTCAAAGGTAACCTCTATTTTTAGCTCAATTGACTATGATGACGATATTGCCTGCATTATCTATCCGTACCGTATTCCTCCTTCTATTATGTGTCGTCGAGTCGAGGATGACAAACTGGTGTGTTATAAATCCTCAGGAGAGATCATCTTTTACGAGGACATCCTAGAGGCAGGGTTGAAGTTTCCCATACCCGGGACCATCTGTCGGGCCCTGGGACACTTGTCACTGACTTCAAGAAGGTTGAACCCCAACGGTTGTGGGGTGATTGTGGCATTCTTCTCATTATGGTGATTTGTCTATGGTTTTGATGTTTCTCCCCCTTTTGAGTAGTTTTTGACTTCGTATGGGTTTTTTGATAATCCTTATCCTCATCAAGGGTGACATCGCTATGCCTCGAGGTCCGGTAAACTTATTATAGGACTGTATTCGAATTGCCATAGCTGAAAATCTAGGTTCTTCTTTGTTGATGGTGAGTGGGCCGATAAGGAAGACAGTGACCTAGTGCCTTAGAGGTGGGACATTACTCTGAGGACCAAGCTAGGTAATGGTTTTTACCTTTGCTTTTTATGTCTGAACGTCATATCCCTATACTTACTCTATGTTTGGTTTCTTTGCAGCTCCCCCCACGTTATCTCCAAAGCAGGAAAGTAGGCTTCAGGTCATGCGGGATCATCCCTTTAAGGAGTTTTCAGCCATCATGTTCGCATCAGGTTGTCCTAGAGCCTCCCCTAGGTAGAAGAGGAAAGGTATCTGATCCTTCCAATAGAATTTCGATGGTTATGACTTTGTAGGTTCTTCGTCTTACACCAATTCCACATGTCCCACTATTGATAGAACGATGGTGAAGGCTCTTTATGCCTCTAAGGCCGCATCTTCCCCTCCTTCTAAGAAGGTAAGGCCTGATGCCCCAGGGCTTCTCGTCCGAGGTCTGATGGCCAGGTTGCCTCCCAAGAGACGAGACCCGATGTTGCCCTCACTCCTTCCCCGGTTATGACTCCTTCGCATTCCAGAGCTAGCCCTAGTATAGCAATAGGAGGTGGGATTCCAGTGCAGTCTTCTATGAAGATCGGAGCTCCTCATAGCTGCCCTTCTTCTAATAGTGGTTCAATATCCATGTTGTAGGATGTGAATTTGGCCAAGGAGCGGCTTAGAGGGTTCGTGACCACTGTAGATATCAGGGAGGTCAGCTTTCGAGGTCTAGAGGGCATCATCAATACCGTGATGAAGGGGTTTTCCAAAGTATGCCTTTTACTTAGCTTTGATCTCGTGCTTGCCTTCATTCTTTCATGTTCTGCTTTCTATATGCCTGTAGGTGGTTACCGCTTTTCCTTGCATTTTTTCAAGGACAATGAAGCTTGGAGAGGCATTTGGAGATCTGGCAATAGAGAAGTTGGCATGAGGGGCTGCTTGAGCCTAGAGAGATAGGCACGAGATGCTACCGAGGAGCAATTGAGACTAGCTCATGAGAGAATTGCTCCTCTTGAGTCTAAGTTTTTGCCATCCCATGAGAGGGCTGCCCAACTGGAGGCTAATAAAGAGGTTGCTTATGCGAGAGCAAAGACAGAGTTATGGGCATCTCACAGGAGGGACACTGGGGTAAAGGCCGAACTATAGATAGCTTGGGAGAGGGCTGCTGTGGCAGAGGCTGGCCTTCAAGCAGCTCTTAAGAGAGCTACCAGGGTAGAGGCTCACTCCATTGAGATGGAGAAGAGGAGGCAGGCTACTGAAAGGGCCACGGAAGACGCCTTTATCATTGGTTATAAGGAATTTAAGGGGTAGGTCTCTATAGTTTTTCCTACCTTTGTCTTTTCTAGCTTTGTCCCCTATGAGGCACCAGGGACTGATGGCGAACAGGATAGCTTTGATGAGAGTGGCTCGAGGAGCAGTTAGTGATGTCAGGAGTATAACACTTTTATCTACATGTTTATCTTTTAGTTGCTAGGTTATGTTCTATATTTTGTAATTGGTTTATGAACTTCTATGGAAAGAGAAATAGTTTTTGAAAAAAATAATCTTGCAAAGTTTTATTTTCATAATTTGAAGTAGATAAACAAAATTGGCTAAATCAACAATAGATAGTTTAAATGATGGCCACTGACTTGTACACCCACTGACTTGCCCCCAACTATTGGTAATACTTTTTCAGGTGTTTCGCGTTCCACTGATGGGCTAGGGCTTTTCCCTCAGAGTTCTGAATTCTGTAGGTGCCCGGTCTTACTACTTTTGTGACCATGTAGGGTCCTTCCCAGTAAGGGCCTAACTTCCCTTCTCAGGAGCCTTTGGTAGACAAGATGACCTTTTTGAGGACTGGGTCCCCAAGAAAGAATGAGCGAGGTTTCAGCCTTGAGTTGTAGTACTTGGTCATGCGATTCTTGCACTCCACGTTCCTGAGCATAGCCATCTCCATCTCCTCCTCTATGAAGTCGAGGTTGATGCGGAAGCCTTATTCATTAGTGGTAGGGTCATGGTGTTGGACCCTAAGGGAATGTACTCCAATTTCGACGGGTATGACTACCTCTACTTCATAGGCTAAGGAGAAAGGGGTCTCTCCCATAGGGTTTCTTGGAGTTTTCTGGTAAGCCTATAGTACTCCTGGGTGCTCATCCATCCATCGCCCCTTGGCACTCTCCAATTTGGTCTTCAGGTTATAGAGGATGGTTTTGACGGTAACCTTCGCCTGCCCGTTTGCTTGTGGATAGGCCGGGCTGAAGTGGGGTTGCTTGATTTGTAGGTCGGCACAGAAGCTATTAAGGAGCTTGTTGTCAATCTGTTTGGCATTATCACTTATTATAGCATGAGGTACCCTAAAACGGCAGACTATGCTCTTCCAAATGAAGTCCTTCACCTTCTAGTCTGTTATCCTGAATAAGGATTTGGCTTCTGCCCACTTTGTGAAGTAGTCAATGGCTACTACTACAAACATGCAGTGGCCCTGACTCATGAGTAGGGGACCTAGAATGTTGATCCCCCACATGGAGAAAGGCCATGGGTTTAGGATGGTGGTGAGCTCTTCTAGTGGCTATTTGGGCACTATTGCAAAGTTCTGGTACTTGTCACACTTCTTCACGAACTCACGGGCGTCTCTAATCATGCTAGGCCATTAATAGCCTTGCCTTACCTTGTAAGCTAGTGCACGCCCTCCTAAGTGATTTTCACATTTCCCCTCATGGATCTCCCTTATGGCATAATTGACTTCCTCGAGGGTAAGGCAGCGGAGTTGTGGTAGTAATTAATTCTTCTTGTATAGAGTGTCACGTAAGATGACATACTTAGATGCTCTTATTCTCAAATTTTTGACTTCTATTGGGTTGTCTAGGAGAGCGCCTTCCTCTAGGTAGGCTTGGATATGTGTCAACCAATTGGTTTCAGAGGATTCACAATTAACATCGTCCTCCTTTGCTTTAAGCCTACTTGGCTCAAACTGGTGGTCTGTTAGTACTGGGCCCATAAGTATGTTTGTAGATGTAAACTTGGCAATAACATCTGCCATGAGGTTCTTCTCTCTAGGCACGTGGTGGAGCTGGAAGTGGTTAAAATTTTTCAATAAAACTTGGACCACTGACAGGTATTCTTGCATCTTTTCCTCATTTGCTTCAAAGTCTCCCTTTACATGATTGATTATCAGTTGTGAATCACTGTAAGCTGTCAGGTAGAGGGCTTCCATCTCTATTGCAAGCTTCAAGATTGATATGAGGGCCTTATATTTAGTTTGGTTGTTTGATGCTACAAAGTGGAGGGTGACAATGTACTTGAGTAGAGTGCCACGAGAGTTGATCAGTACCAGTCCTGCGTCGTTGCCCTCACTAATGGAAGATCCATCTACGTACAATCTCTAGCATGGTACAGTGTTAGTGGGGGGCACCTGCTTAGGTGTAATAGGACACTTAGATAAGAGCACAATAGACTGGGGCATTGAGGACTCTAGAGGAGTAGATGGAAGGGAACTAGGCACCTCTAGTCTAGAAAGTCTAGCCTCCAAGGGCTAGGAGGTCATCACCAAGATGCCAGGCTCTTTAGGGATGGTGTGGGGGCTTGCCTCATGGTGACTTGAGTCACTGGGAACTGGGCAGGTTAGCGCAAGGGTGCATGGTGTTTGTTCCTGAGATTCTTCTGCTGGTTCCTCTCTCTCCAAGGTGCTGTTATCCAGAGGGTAAGCACTTTGACTTGGAGGGTCTCCTATGGCCTCCTGGCCCTCATAAATGCCACGTAGCATTCCATAGCGGAGACCTGGTCTCCTTTGACTTCTTCGATCCCACTGGGGGTTGAGAAACAGAGGAGTGGGTGATAGGTGGATGACACTGCCTTTAGGGAGTTGAGTGCAGGGCGTCCAAGAATGATGTTATTGGTGGAGGGACAGTCCAGTACTATGAAGTTTACCATGATGGTGGAGTTTCTTGGCGATATCCCTGTTGTGACTAGTAGAGTGATAGAACCCAAGGGATAAATCCTCTCCACAGAGAATCAAATAGGGGTTGTCCTGACGGGTTGCAATC